TATATATATATGTATATATATATAAAATTTATATCAAATGTCGATAATGACGTTTTTTTTTTAATTATCCTGGGATATTGATTGTCACAAAAATTTGCTCAGAGTAGGCTATCTTTAATAATATTTTGTTGATGTCAATTATTGAAAGCGAACTAACTTAAACTGGTGACACAATATGTTGTTTTCCTACTGGATTGCTAGCTGGATTAAAATTTTGCCATTATATTAGTTGTGGCTGATAATGATAGCATCGCAACCAATAAGGTGACAAGAATCTAATCTAACTAATAATCGAGCAAGAAAATAAATAATAAAATTGTGTGCCGCCGGCTTTAATTTCATGAAAAATCCATTAAAATATTTTAATTCAAAAAAGTAATAATTTAAAAAAATCGTCAAATATCACAATTCAGAAAGAATTTTTTTAAAAGTGAAACGAAAATAACATTTAATCGTATTAAGAACATTTTTCTTTTTGTTAATATTACTTGATTAATTAATAAGTTTCTATCAAAAATAATTTTTCCTCTTTTCTGAGAAACTTTATTTTTTGTACTTAATCTTTTTCACTTTTGAAATAAATATATATATGTATCTTGGAGGATCTAAGAAATATTGAATTTTGATCTAAGCTTCGAGATAAATCAAGGAACAATCTATATACATTACTATACATAATATTTTTATGAAATATGAAAATATGAATATTTCTTTGTGAGATAACATTAAACATAACAATTTATGATTTTGTAGGTGTAATGTTAGCAGTAGACAAAGTTAAAGATGAATTGAAAACTCTGAGCAAACCTGTCACAACACCCGAAGAAATCGCTCAAGTAGCAACAATATCCGCTAACGGCGACAAAGCTGTCGGCGACTTGATCTCGGACGCTATGAAGAAGGTCGGGAAGGAAGGTGTGATCACTGTGAAAGATGGCAAAACACTCATCGACGAACTTGAGGTCATAGAGGGGCTGAAGTTCGACAGAGGTTACATTTCTCCATACTTCATCAACTCCAGTAAAGGAGCCAAAGTTGAGTTCCAAGACGCGCTCCTTCTCTTTAGCGAGAAAAAGATCTCTTCCGTACAAAGTATCATACCCGCTTTGGAATTAGCGAATTCACAACGCAAACCTCTTGTCATAATCGCTGAGGATGTGGATGGAGAAGCTTTATCGACTCTCGTTGTTAATCGTTTGAAAATTGGGCTACAAGTAGCTGCAGTTAAAGCTCCCGGTTTTGGTGACAATAGGAAGGCCACTCTTCAAGATATGGCGATATCCACCGGTGGCATTGTGTTCGGTGATGATGCCAATCTAATCAAATTAGAAGATGTTCAGGTATTTATCCAATCTAATAATAGTTTGATTGTATCATTTTATTGTTTTCAAAAAGGATTATTTATTTTTTTTATATTTTTTCATAATTTTAACTTTCCATTAAACTTTTACTTTTTAAATTTAGGCATATGGGATAAAAGTTGGAATTTGAATTTGAAACTTGCCAACTTGTTGAGTTTCATTCTCGTACGGAATCACATTACTCCAGTTAAAATTGATTTCACAAATAACTTTGACCTTATTTAAATTTAGAATTTTTGTGTAATTTCTAATTCCTTAATAATGGAAGAATCTTTTCTACTTAAATAATAGAGTTAAGTAATGGCAGGATTAGGAATCAAACCCAAACTTATTACTTTAGGCAACTGTTCTACTACTAGTTGTCTAGCATTCATCAGCCATACTTTAACGAATGTAATACTTTTTTCTCTAGCTAAGCGACTTGGGCCAGGTAGGAGAAGTCATCATTACAAAGGACGACACTCTCATCTTAAAAGGCAAGGGAAAAAAGTCTGATATCGATAGAAGAGCCGATCAAATCAGGGATCAAATTGAAAACACCACATCCGATTATGAAAAAGAGAAGCTGCAAGAACGTCTGGCAAGATTAGCGTCAGGCGTCGCTGTCTTGAGAGTTGGCGGAAGCAGTGAGGTGGAAGTTAACGAAAAGAAAGACCGTGTACATGATGCGCTCAACGCTACTCGCGCCGCTGTCGAAGAAGGAATCGTTCCTGGGGGTGAATTTTTATTTTTATCAGCTTGTTTTCGCGTAGCTCGCATACTTAAATATATATTAAATATATATTTATTAAATAAATATTTATTAAATATATATTAAATATAACATTAATTTTTTACATATATATAACATTAATTTTTTAGGTGGCACCGCATTGTTGAGATGCATACCAATATTACAACAGCTTAAGGCTGTGAACGGTGATCAAGAAACTGGAATCAAGATCGTGGCGAATGCTTTGCGTATGCCATGCTTGCAGATCGCGCAGAACGCCGGCGTTGACGCCAGCGTGGTAGTGGCTAAAGTAAGCGAGGGCAAACTCGGCTACGATGCCCTTAAGAACGAGTACGTCGACATGATCGAAAAGGGCATCATCGATCCGACAAAAGTCGTACGAACAGCACTTACGGACGCTGCCGGTGTGGCATCATTGTTGACAACGGCAGAAGCGGTCGTCACCGAGATACCTAAGGAGGAACCCCAACCACCAATGGGCGGTATGGGCGGTATGGGTGGAATGGGTGGTATGGGCGGCATGATGTAAAAAGTGAAACACAAAGACTGAGATAAAGACAGTCCATGAGTTACACTCTTGTTTGTAATGAAACGCGATTGTACTATGCTATATTGTTTAAATAATTTAATATTGTTTAAAAAATTTTAAACATAGATTCTGTTCAAACGGAATAAATAGATATCCGTACTATCTCATACAATTTGTACTTCGAAACATTACAGGCGATAAAATATCACTCGTGTAGTATGAAGCTATTTTTATGAAACGCCGTTTCCACTTTTTTTGTTTTATGAATCTGTAATGTTATGAATCTATACGGAGATCGCTCGATTTATTTCATTCAATTTGTGCGATGCATA